TGAAATAATTAGCAGCTGTTGAGAGGGAAACCAATGTGTTTCATGTAAAATGTTACTCTTCATTACAGAGTCCAAATTCAAAGCAGTCCAAGATTTTTAAAAGGTGCTTATTTTTAAAACGAGTGGAATAAAAGCTGATCTTAAGCATTCTACTCTAAGAAACGTTTTCCTCTAAGTAACATTAGTTGGGAGCAGTATCAGGTAAAATCTCTCTATATAATATATAAATTATACTTAATATAGTATACTTAATATATAATTTTAGTATATAATCTGATACGTAATTACTCTACTATTAGTCCACTAGTCTTGTTCTCGTTTGCCCAATCTTGTTGGAAGCCCTTGCAAAGGTCATTTCTACGGTAGAAGGAATGGGCCATTCAGCCAAGATTTTGTACCTTTTAAAAATACAGCAAGAGCTAAATCAACAAATTGTGAAAAATAATATCAAAACACCAGAAGTGCGTGGCAGTAGATCCTGATGCTGAGTTGCTGTCAGAACTTCTGTTCTATGCGCCGTCCATCACTCTGAGGAAATGTATAGTGAAAGCCTCCTCATAGAAAATATGCCAAACCAGAAGCCAAGAATCTTTTTAAGAAAATCTCAAATTTTGTTAATTTTCATTAGAACATTATTTCAAGCAAAATGCCTAAAGATATTAACATTTGTTGCTGTTACATATAAAGAAAAGAAATGAAAATATGGATTTTGGCTTTAATTTTTAAGTTAGGAAGGCATGGATAAGCAAATTTGTGGTAGTAGTTTTTCTAATGGACATTTGGTGAGAAGACATGTACTTGGTTTGCTAATAGTATCTATGTCATAACGTATTATTACCTATGCTGAACACTTTTGAGATAGATGGTATGTAATACCTGCCAACGGTTAGATAGGTAGATTTGGCTTCACTATCAAGATCGTCCTTGTTTAGTGAACACCATTGGTTTTCAGGGGTTTTTTGTTGTTTTAGGTTTTAACCATCTGTGTTGCACTGTTTTCATTTGTGAGGAGAATAGGAAAAGGAGAATAAAGGAATGATTTGAAGATTTATTGCACCCATTCGACTTCCCTGCCTGACCGAACACTTGGAAAATTGAGCAAAATGTTTCATCTCAAATTAAATTTGCATGTTTGAAGCCGCAGATCTATGGCCAGAGCACACTGAAGACAGAGCTGGAGGTGCCCAAGGCAGACCCTCTGCCAAGCACGGCCATGGGGCCAGAGGGTATCCTACAAGGGGCGCTCCTGGGGAAATAAAGGTTCGTTGCATAGTCATTCTCCGCCCTTTTCATCTTACTGCAAAACCGGAGAACTCTTGAGTTTTATCTCAGGGAGAATGGAGAAACAACAATCCAAAGAGAAGGCTGTCGATCAGAATCTTCCATGTGCAGAGGAGGACGGAGTTTTCTTTCTCAAACTTGGCAGGAACTCTCAGCAGCGCTTGTAGTATTAGTTTTAGCGGTTCTGGGATTTGTCCAAGGAGACGGCTAAGAGGTATCCGCACCTCCCACACTTCATGCATAAAAATTTTCAAGTGGAAAACATTTAAATATTCAGTGTTTTGCATCAGTTCCTTAAATCCTCCTGGATCGCGGCACTGAAAAGTGAAACACGCATGCTGTACGAGAGCTTCTTCCGGGGACCTGTGGTTGGAATCAGACAGACATGGAGAGGACAGACGGATTGGCCCACCCTCCTGCTGCTGCCCCTTGAGGTACAGGGAGCGGGCTCTGCCTTCTCGCAGCCACTCAGCTCCCCGTCCCTGGCCCTGCCCTGCCACAGCAGGTAAACACCATCGGCTGCAGGACCTGATGCTTATCTGTGCTATTGTTTCTGTGCTTATGTTGAGAGTGGACTCCGAAATCATAAAATCACAATATCCATGAACTGTAACTTAAAAATTCAGCAGGTTAATCCCATTATTGTGGAAATAAGAAAGCTCCAGAGGGCCACAGTTAATGGCACAGACCCTTTCTTCAGTGTCACACCGAAGCCCAAGTACAGGCCAAGTGATGTCATCACTGCTGCCCTAATGCCATTTGACATGGGAATGAACAAGCTAGAAATTCAAACAAAGGCAAAGTTAAACAGTGAAATATGATTAGAAATACTACCAGAAATACTAGAATAGAAAAGGGGGTTTTCACGTTTTAAAATCCGCCCCCCCGCAGACCATTGAGATGTTGGCCTATCACCGTCTCAGAAATGAAAGAGATGATAATGCCTTGCATTATCCTTGGAGAGACGACTACAGTATATTGTTAGGTTTAAAAAAGTAGGTTACAAAATTGTATGTAAACGATGATCTAACCTGTTTTAAACATGTGTTTAAATACACATACAACAGTCTGGAAGAATGTACTCTAGGCACTTAACAATGTTTATTTCTGGGAGTAGAATTACAGGGAGCCATTCACTTTTGGTTTCTTGCTTGAATATTCTACAGACATCATTTTTCATTTAAAAATCAAAGATATTTCTGTGTGCATGAGAGAGAGAGAGAGAACCTGGCTCAGGACGGTGAAGCTAGAAACGCTATTGTTAGGTATCAATAATGAAGGTAGGATGAAACTACAGTGCTAGACCATTTAAACAAGCAGTTTACTGACTATTCCAATCTGGTTGGCATTTACTGGCATTTAGTTGGTGACCAACTTACAGAAATTGCCTGGTACAACAATGGGTTCGGTAAATGTTAGGTAGTCTCATGCGTGCATGCGTTCATTCATTTTACTGAGAAATTGTTGTGTATAAAAGATTTGGTCCCAGAGCACACACTCTGGCAGGAGAAACGGGACGGCCACCAGAGGATTAGACACAGAGCCAGGGGTGTCCTCAGCTGGGTCGGTGAAAGGAAAAGTTGGTGATCTGGATTTAGGGCTAAGCCCACAATTTGTCACAAATTTTACGTAGGAAAGTGGTTCTGGAATTAAGGAGCCCATTTCCTCCTTTACCACACCTCTCCAGAAACTCCACCTAGGGGATCAGTGAGGCCAGTAGCACCGGTCAGGGACGGGCGGCGTTTGGCCCGAGGGGTCCCGAGTTGGGTTACTGTGCACACGACAGAGTAAGCCAATTAATGGGACTCCAGAAATTGTCCCTGGGGAAGAAGCCCCCCACGGAGCTCTGTGCCTCCCGACCCACGCGAACGCTCCGCCGCGCCTGCGCGTCCGCGGGCCGGTCCCCGCGGGGCCGAGGCCCCCCGCGGCCGGGTCACCGCACACGGCGGTCTGCGAAGGAGACGCGGTGAGAACACGCGCCATCCCCGCTGGCCGGGAGAAAAGCGAACTTCCTCCCGAGCGGAGCGCGGGGCGGGCGAGGCTGAGGGGGCGGGGGCCTCCCGACCGGCCCCTCCCCGCGGGACTCTTATTGTGAAGGGCGGCCGCGGGGCCACTGAGTCACCGGCCGCGCCGTATAAAGCGCGGACCTGCCGCCAGCCGCTCGCACGGCCGGGACGCGGCGGCGGGCCGAGGTAGGCGCGGGGCGCCCGCGGGGGCCCGGGTGCTGGGGGGGGAGGGGCGTGAGAGTCACGGGGCCGGGCGCCCGCGGGGGGCTTCCGAAGGGGACGGCGCGTGGGGGGCGGCCACTCGTGAGCGCAGTTCGCCCCCGGCCGACGGTCCTTTGCCGCGCCCCTCCCCCCACCCGCCGGATTCGAGGCGGCGACTTTTGCGTCGTCTTAACGGGGTCGCTTTGCCGCCCCGGCGGCCCTCCCCCTCGTCCAAGCGTCCGAGCCCGGCTCCCGCTTAACCGCGGCCCAGTCCGGGAGGGCTCGAGCCGGGTGGGGGCTGGGAGGGAGATGACCTCACTGCTGGCGCGGGCGGGGGAGGGGTCCGCGCGACCCGGCCCGCGCCCCTCCCCCGGCGCGTCCTCTCCGAGCGCTCGCCCCGCGCAGGCGCCGCTCAGAGGCTGCGGGAGCCAGGGCCGCCCCGCGGGTGCGGGAGGTGCGCGGGGCAGGCGGGGTGTGGGGCCCCGCGGGGGGCGGGGTGCGTGCGCCGAGGCGCGGCGGGCGCGGAGCTCGGGGCGGCCCCCGGGAGGCGGCCCCGCCCCGGGCTGGGGCTTCCCGCCCTTTCGCCTGGTTCACGGTCGGGGGGCTCTGTGCCGAGCGGCGCGTGGTCCGGACTCCGGAGAGGAGTTTGGTCGCTGCAGCCCGACGGGGGCTGGGCCCTTTGTTCGCGCCGGGGCGAGGGAGCCAGGGCGGACGCCAGCCCCGCTGCGCGCCCCCGGACGGCCCTGGGAGCCGCGACGTCTGGATCTGGCTTCCCTGCGGACCGCGGAGAAGCCGCGTGGGCGGGCCTGGTGGAGAATGTACATCCGGAGGGACGGTCGCGGGTCGTCCCCTGACCTGCGCCGGGAGGCTCCGGCCGGTGGTCTCGGCAGCTCCGCCGTCGGGGAGCGTTGCCGCCGGTTGTCCGGCTTTGGTGCGGGTCGCTTCGCGGGTCACAGTACCAGGCAGGCAGCATCTTTCTTGCTGCTTTTTTTTTTTAACATCCCCAACGAGAGACTTTTTCCCCCTCAAGATGAGGCAGGCCCGATTAGTGATACGAGGCTTGAGTGGATTCGGTCCTGCCCTTGTCTGTCTGTACTGGCTGGCGTAGGAGTCGATGTGCCCGGCGCCTTGCAGAGACTGTGGGATCTGTGACCCGAGAGAGGCAGCCGAGCAGTCGGTGCATCCTCGAACGATAAACGCAGGGGATAGGCAGGAGCTGGGCAAGAGATTTGCCAGCTGGTCCCTAAGCGTTATATCTTCCTGGTTCTTCCACGTTGTCTTTAGCGCAGGAGCGAGGTGGCTGCGTGGCGCTGACGTCACGCTCGCCAAGACCCGGGCACAGCAGCGGGTCGGGTGGCGGAACAGGCCGCGTCCTGACCAGCTCGGGCTGCGAGCAGACGGCGCCTGCGTGAGGAGCAGGGCTGGTGGCTGGAAATGTTGTAGCTTTATTCCTCGGGACTGTTGGAATCCATGATCACAAAGTTCTGATCGCTGGTGTGCAGTGGCTCCCTGCTTTGAATGATGTCATAGCTGCTTGCCCGGACTGTCCCAGGTGAGCGGACACGGATTTGGTAAACAGATGCTCTACTTTACGGCAGCCTTGGTGGTGCTTCAGTACATCCTTGTGTTCTCTAGATACAGTTTTTCGTTGACTTTTTAAACTTTTTAAGATACAGAATAAAACTGAATGTCACCACATTGCATTGTGGTTGATCTTCAAGATTTTACTGTATTCTTAAGCCTGAAGCTGGTGTTTTTAAAACTTTGCTCATAAGCTGTATTATGTGTACTACTTTTGAGGGTAGTTACCTTTTTTCCCAAAAATATTGTTCTCCTAGGTTACAGTAAACCTTTGACCCTACTATATGGGAAGCAAATAATTGTTACTGAAATATAAAGCATTTCTTGGAAGTTATCAAGACATCCACATTGCTTAAGGTGCTAAAATCATTATTTCAAGAGGAAATTATTAGTTTGTTCAAACAATTGTCCAAATAATCGATATTCCTTCTTTCCAGATTTCTTTCACAATCCTTGGGAACTATAAAAACATGTATTAGACATTGTGTTTTCTATATATTTCTACTTAATTTCACATCAAAATGTATTATGCTTTTTCAGCATTTATTTTGGAAGGTCCTTATAAACATTGAGTAATCAAAATTCACTGTACTTCAAAAATTGCCTACTATTTAATATCTTGCAAAATAATCCTCCTCAAGTAAATGGGAGAAGTAGACATTAAATACACACTTTTTAAAATTAGTGATACGTTAAAAGAGCACTGAACTTCTTTGAAAGTGCTCCTGGTACTTCATCCACGTTAGCCCATCTCAGCAATATTTCTTTTGAGACACGGCGTAAGAGATGGAACTCTACCAGCTTGTAAAGAAAGATGCAGAGAAGGGCCTTCTCCAGGACCATGCAGAGATAACACTGAGGTGCTCAGTTCTTCCTACTTCTGTCTCTCAGGTTTGTAGCCCTGGAGACCCCTTCAAGTTGCACTATTCAAGGGTTTTTCTTTTTTAAATAGGGAAGCTCTGTATCAGATTTTATCAGAATAAAGAATTAGAGGTGGTAGATGAGAAAGGTTTCGTCCAAAGAGTTTCGATGGCTGGAGGGCAGTGACCCATTCTAGAAAGCGCAGAGCCAGAGGGGGTGTCAGGGAAGGAGAGACACCACGTGGAAACTAGTGGCGTGGACCGTGTTCTGCCCAACCCCATGGGCTGCTTACAGCACAGATTTCTTCCTGAGCAGTAAATCTCAGCTGCTTGCTGGCTGCGTGCTTTAGACCATAATTGGTAACGTGAGCCATCCCAGTCAGGTGAGCCTCTCTTCCTTGTGCGTGTTGGACAGTGACCACAGGGAAGCACGCTGAGACGCGGGGTGCCGACGTCAGCGCCGTGTCTCCCGCTGCCTGCGCTGGCAGCTGCCAGAGCCACGCCGCCACGGCAAGCTCAGGTGGCCATTTTCAGTTTGGCGCAGACGGCTGGAAGGCGGAAAGGCCTATGGGATGGAAAAGGTTTCCTCCTGAGGGAGAAGCTGCCGTTGGCAAAGTGTGTCAGCCAGAAGAAATGAGCAATAACCGTTTGCTGGTTTCTGTTGGCAGAAACTTTGCATTTTTTTTTGTCACAAAGAAGTGTTAAAAATAGATTTATAAGAAGATGCACAAAACCAAGGAAAAGAAATAGACACTGAAGTTCTTCCGACGAGAGGGGAGAGAGGAGAGCTAGCCTTTGCTGAGTGGCTGTGGCTGACCCGGCCTTCGGTTCTCACGTGCGCACGGAGGGAGGGAGGCCCGCCACGGTATCCCATCCACACAGAAATGCAGCACTGCTGGACCACACAGAAGACTCTTAAGCTCGACATTAATATTCATGACATTTATGATGCCTCTGAAACTGCCACACCTACCGAGGAGTCGGCGAGGCTGGGTGCGATGGCTCAGGCCTGTAACCCCAGAGCTTTGGGAGGCTGAGGCGGGAGGCTCACTTGAGGCCAGGACTCGGAGAAGTAGGCAGCCCTCAGCCCTGGGATGGGTCGTATTCTGAATGTGGATTTGCTGGGAACTCAGAACACACTTTTTCATTGAAACTGTCTCACACGTGGTGGTTGGGTTTCCAGGCCAGCCTAGAAATCACAGGTGCAGTTTCCGCTTTATTAACAGTACCATAGAACCAAGCCGCTATATATAACATGGTTTTATGGGAAAATGCACTCCGAGCTCTAACTTGAGTTTCTTGTGGTTTATTATCCCGGGGACAGTGGCAAAAGCGACCCCTGCCTTCTCTTTTTTTTCCATTTAAACTCTGGAGGGAAAATAAAAGGTATACAGAGATATGTTTCCTTTCCTACTCCCCTCAAGCTAACAGAGACCCCACCCTAGAACTACAGAGCTGTGGGGGGGACCCTGCCTGCAGGTGGCTTTGTGGCAACAGAGAGGAAAGAGGAGGGGGGAGAGGAAAGAAGTGAGGTCCAGGTGTGGGTCACGCATGGCCGGCGGAAGCCAGCTGCCTGTTGACCAACATTTTCTTACTAAACGTAATCGTTGCTGTAGAACCCAGACCTTGACGCTGCTTAGTTGTATGTTCAGTATGTTTAAAGTCAGGGTTAGGTTTAAATGGAATCTTCAGTAATAGAAGAAAAGGAAACATACAGGCATCTTATTTTTCTTTTTGATGCCAGTCTAGTAAATTTCCCAAACCAGTACCTATTTGGGGCTAGAGAGACTCAGGGTCAACTTGGATGCTGATGTATAGATTATAAGATTCTAATTAATCCTAGAATAGGTACCATTTGTTGAGTACTTAACTTCAAATCAGAAAAGGTGCTAAAATGGGTGGAGTCCGAGGACAGTTAGAAGGTGGAATCGGCGTGGGGGGTGGGGGAGGTGGTCGAGGGCAACTCCCAGGGGCTGCCAGGCGGTGGGTGGGGCTGCCATTCACGGGGAGAGGAGGGGATGGGGCAGCTCGGAGGGAGGCAGGTTCAATTTGGGACACCCAAGTGGCGAGGGGTCCAGAAACAATTAGATACCTAAGGCTGACATCCTGGGAGGAGATCCGACTTGGGAATTGTCACCACAGATGGAAATTAAAGCCTGGGGAGACGGCGTTGGCCCCAAAAGAGAGCATTAAGAGAGAAAATTGGGATCTCAGTGACCGAAGGTTGAGTAAAGAGATCCTGTCATTTGGGTAAACCATGCTGCCGTCTGCAAAATCTGCCCAGTGACAGAACGTTGAAGTGAAGCATATTCCAGTAAAACCACAAATGAATTGATTCAAAACTGGAGTTGGAAAAGTTTTTGGTTTTTCTTGGTAAAGCCTCATTTTCTACTTGTCTTCATAACTATAAATGGGTGTATTTGTATAGAAGGTAACATGGGGATTTTTTTTTAAAGTCTATTTTTGGCTCCTTAAGAGGAGACGAAATGAATCCAGATGTATTCCACGGTTTCTCACATCACACCGTGCTGTTACGTGACACAGAATGTCTGAGGACACACTGTCCACACCGGCGGCTGTAAATCTGTCCAGGCAAGTGACTGCAGGATACCCAGGGACAGTAGATAAGAAGTTGGACCTCACCTCTCCAGGGGGAAGCTTTTATTTGCAACAGAGAGCAGTACGTTAAGAATTTGTGAATCTCTTTGAAGGGCAAACAAAAAAAATCATCTAGGGGTCAGATGGCAGTTGTCCAAGTCTGTGATTCCTTGGCCTTTCTTTATACACAACCAGCTGGAGTCGTCAGTTTCCAAACACACAAAATTATACCGTTCAATATCAGTTCGTCCTCTGCTTTTCCAGAACTATCCAACAGTGTGGTGGACGCTTGGTGAAACCACCACATGCGAAGCTGCCAGACCTTTCCTTGGGTCAGCTTCTTTGCCTCAGGATACAAATGAATGACACAGTCTGACCACTCCCTTGAAAAAGGTATTTGGAATTATTTTATACTTAGAGATTTTTAAAAGCCCGCATTTTGACCCATCACAAGCACATCAAGGTTGAGATGTCTGCAGTGCAGTGCCATGTGAGGGGGGAGGTCCTTTGTTTAAAAATAGAAGGACATTCGCTGCTTCCCGGGAGGGGAGAGGGCAAAGGTCCTCGCCTTCACCAACGAGATTTTTAAACATTGGAGTTGAAAGTTGGGACTTCCCAGGGTGCACTTACTGCAGGACGTGGACCTCCTGAGTCTGTGTTTTTCTTTTCGGCGCACTGAGCGTCCTCTGAGGTGCAGGGTGGTGGTACCACCTGGACACGTCCACCGAGGGCGACTGTAGGATTTTCTGAGAGCCGAAGCACGGACGGCGGATCCGGCAGTCAAATTGAGAGCACTGATTACAAGTTCCGGGGGAAAGTCTTTGAACACCAGTTTACTGGGGAAGTCATTCTGATGGCAGCGTGTGGTTGGGTTCCTGAGGGAGGAGCACAGTGGCGCTTTCTGCAGCGTGGCCACCTGCCCCGGGCTGGCTGCTGAGCAGAAAAGGCAGCAATGGCTTAGAGTAGACACCTTGGCCGTGGAGTGGCAGTCGCTGCGTCCCAGGCGCTGTCGGGCTCTCCGCGTCTGTTCCTTCTGCATCCCTGCAGGGTCTGTAGCTCACGGGTAAGCTCAGTGTGTCCTACAGCTCCGCCTGGGGCTCAGTTTTCCTATGTGTTTCCTTTATAACCCTGCCATTTCGATTTTGTCTACTTACCAAGCCAAGTACAAATCTGACAATGAAAGACAAGGTGATTCACCTTGGACTCTAACGTGTTTGCTCAGTGTCACGTGGCTCTAGTTGTTCCATTTTGCTGTGGTGCCCACGTAAATCTGTGATTGGGATACATCTCAGAATCACACTGATGGCGAACAGGTTCACAGCCCGTGTGGTACCACAGTTATCGTTTATGATGTTCTAGATAAACAGTGATTCTGTAGCATCCACAGGTGACACAGCTACGCTGTTCACGTTCAGTCATTTGGAGATCAGCAAAGACTGCGAGGGCCGAGTGTCCCGAAGCCAGGCTGGTTGCTCAGTGGGCTCTGCTGAGTCTCGGGTGTGCTGTCTCTCAC